GAATTCCATGCAGGTGAATTATATTTTAAATTTATATTCATGCAGAGTCAGGTATTGAACTCAGGTCAGCAAGAACACCTCAGTGTTACATGACGACACACTAACCACTAGGCTATGGGGACTGAGATGCAGAATCACTCTGATGGCTAATTTAATCATATCTCAATCACATCCTTAAAATTTCCTTGATTAACAGCTTCACCTGATTTCAATTAAGACTGTTAGTTCACTCAGGAAAGTGGCTCATCAGGAGCAGACGCTGATCTGATCTCTTACAGCTCTCTATTATATGTAAACCTGCCACTTAATGCCAACAAATTTTCAGTGTTGAAAGTTGTGAAAATTTCCTAAGAGAGATTTGAACACACGTTACACTAAGACACTAATAGTCTCAGAATATATTTTGTCCCTTGTGTTATGCATTTACAACATATCTGCTGGTTCAGCTCATGAAGAAATATTGTATATATAGTGCTGAAGAGGGATTTGAACTTCAGGCTTAAGCACAGAAACTTTTTATACATTTATTTTGTCAGACTGTGTTCATGACTCATATCATAACTTAAGTTCAAGCCCATGATCTGTCATGTTGTACATTTTCTGTATTTCTGCTGTGTTCAACTAATTTTTAGATAATTTTAAAATGTCACACGTTCACACAACCATTAATAAAGCAAAATCAAATAAATGACCAAAGTAAAGAACACCAAATAAACTGATATATTATAAAAATGCATTAATAACTTAATAAATGTATTTTCCACATCCTCAGTTTCGTCTCATAAATGTTTTGTTTTTTGTATGTTTTGTAATTATTTGAACAGCAGAGTTTGTCCAATTTGCTCTGAAGCCTCTTCTGATCTTAAAGTCCTTCATTAGCCGCCTCAGGTGTTTATCATCAGGTAATTCTGGAAAGTGGATCTTCAGGATCAGGATTTTTCACCTTAAGAAATAAAAAACTACTCTGTACTCTAGTTTCATGGATTGATGCAGATCCTCTTATTGTCCACAAGATGGAGCTGAAACTCTGATTTTGTGCATCTCTTTGTTATAAATGAAGCGGACTTGAAATGAAAACAAGTTTATTAGTCATTATATAATACATACTTTATTTGTTTAAACATGCCGTATGCACTCAGTGATCAGTCAAATGTTAAATGCTTTAAAAACCAACAGTGATTCCACAACAAAAATAAGTGAACGTTAGCCAAGACATGAAAATAAAATGAAGCTCTAAAATAAATTATTTATAAATAATCAGGTTATTTCGCCAATTTTTAAATATTAATGTATAGTTCACTCATTTATGACAGTCAAAAGCTTAAAGTTCTCCATCAGCTCCACAAGGCGGCGTGAGCGGCACACTAATATGGTATATTACTATTGTTATTGTTAATTAGTGAAAATTATAGATGTTTTCAGTTGTCTTGATTGATTATCAGGTTTATTCCACCAGATATTAATGTCTTACATTTTCTGAAGTTTTGTGTTGTGTTGTCTTAAAGTGATAAGCACCTCTCATTATAAATGACTTATTTTCTGCAACAAAGAAAAACTAACTTTAGACTTCAGCTAACTTTAAAATACTGATATGTATATTTATATATACTACATAAAATGAAGTTAGTTGTTGTGTTTCCTACAAAATAAAGTCTGTGTTTGGGTCATACAGTCAATAAAATCAGAGCTGTGGGACGTGTGAATAGACTAGACAGTCCCTGTCATGCAGGATATCCACTCACTCATGGACAGGTAAGATGTTGTGAACTAAATAACTAAATTGTAACGCACTGATCTGACCTTGTGTATCTGTCTTTGATTCAGTAAACTGTATTTAGTCATCAGCTCACACAGAAATGAATCATCATTCATTCAAATCTGCCCAAATAACCAATCAAGCTTTACTATAAGTGCATGATGAATGATCAGACCCTCTGAAGTTTGGCTGTGGTTCAACCTGTGTTGGAAGAGGAGTGTTTGTCATTGTTGATTCATCCATCTAGAACCATCCATAGACCCAGAGCTTTACATCTTCTTCATCACTGAAACAGAGAAAGAAAAATGATGGTGATTAATCTTTGTGGTAAACTAACATTTATTAGATTTTTAACTGTTTAAACAAAACAAAATACTTTATGATCCCTAAAGCACATGCTGCACACTTTATAACCGAAATGAATGAATAGTATTGACTGTTAGGATTTTTTCTAAGTAGAGATATAAAAAGTGCAAATATAAAAGTGTAATGCATGTTTCTTCTTAGAATAACTAATCTGAGGTTATGAGTTTCTTTCAAACTCAGACTTGGAAGTGCTCAAAATGTTAAAAAGTCATTTCTGAGAATAATTTGTCTAAATCTGTGCTGTGCTCCCAGATGAAAAAAATAATAGAAACATGAAGTATTTATAGTGGCTTAAATGGTTGATACTAACTGCATTAGTTTTAAAAGGAAATGCATTGGTCCCTGACGGTGGGTCTTGACTGGTAACCTTCTATGGAGATCTGATATATGACCATCTTTATGTTATGTATATTTGTAAACAGCCATTTAAAAAAAAACATGTTGTATATATGACAAATGTGTGAAATACAAACCTGAACTTGCAATATTGTATTGGTGGTAACTGGATGGTAAACCTGAAGTCCTACTAGATTAGTTTGCAGATTCCAGCAGTATTGAAATAAAAGCTGCTGAAATCTGCAAACAAGACACAGAAAAACACTTTAGAATAAAAGAATAGAATAAAGAATAAAAGAGGCTCGTGCATGTAAATAATAAATAAAGTCAAGCGCACATCTTCTTTACCCAGAGTCTCGGAGGATTGCCCATTCATTCCTGAGTGTGTTTCCATGAGCTTCTCAGTTCAGCTCTTTTAATCCATCAGTTTAAAGCTGATCTCGATCTTCTGCCGGTCGATACACTCTCAATAATAAATGAGTATATTTTATATACTCGAGTATATTTAAAATCTCTTAAATCTCTCTTCGCTGTTCACACGACTGACTGCGCGTCCACCTTGTGTTTACTTCCTTAATGCGGATACACCTATTGACCACAAGCCGGAGCTGAAGATCACCCATACACGAGTTGATTAGTCACGTTTTCTTGAGTATAATAATTAGACAATGCAGTCAGAATTAATTATTGTGCTTGTAATACGACATTAAACTATAAAAATAATCATTTTAAGTCTGTTTAAGCCTACAACGCGGACTTTATGTTGTAAATTGTAGCGCAGTTCTCCATCCGCCCCACTAGGGGGCGCGCACTGCTTCACGTTATGTCTGTCTCGCAGCTCTAAGGTGTTTGACACTGACAGCATGAGGCTTGACGATACAACACGTTAAACAAATCCTGACAGCTCCGTGATTGTATTATAATATCTATAAACAACACACAAACAAACTGAACAGACACGCCGCGCTGTAAAGTGCAGGAATACAGTGACAAGAGACGCACCTGTAAGTAACTTTACCGTGTTTTCTCCGTATTGTTTGTGTTGACGTTTGATTTTTATGTCGTTTCCCAAAGCAGGACATGTCAGTTTAGCTCAACATAAACATATAAAAGTCACACTGTTCTAATCTTATCAGAGTTGTGCTTAAAATGTTTTATTTATTGAGCATTATGACTGTCTTCCTTAATTTAATTGGTTTTATTGCAGACTTTCATGACATGATGCTCTCATGCTGAACTAGTGCTGTGTTGATTTTATAATGAATTATTTTATATATTAAACGTTTTTAAATATGTTTGTCACTATCAATATACATTTTATAATTACTATTATTATCTTTTTATAATTTATAGTATATTCTGTATTATTTGGGCTGTAAAAGCTGAATAATCAATATTTGTACATAGTTCTATAGTTTAATATCAGGTGGAGCGTATAGTTGAACTGAACAGTTGGGCCAATGCGAGTCTCTTTAATAAATCTTTTTATTGAATTATTTCAGTGTCCCGTTAACCAGAAGCTGAAACACAGAGATCATTTGAAGACAATAACCTCAACATCAACAGCACGTGAGTCACACAGCGTTCATTCATTCACAGTCAAGCATTTATTATAATGAAGGGTTTTATGAGTGTTTCTATATTTGTGTGTTGATTTATTAAGACTTTTCAGTTCTTGTTTTAATTGTCTATTTTAAATGCTTTAGGCTTTGTTTATTAGATTTTCCTAATATCAATGTTTAAGTTTAATGATTAATGTATTTACCTTTTTTCATTCTTTAAAATTTTATATTACTAGATGTGTTTGTAGTCTAATAGTGACTTTTTTCAATTGTTATTTTTTTTTACACTTAATTTTTTTTTTTTTATTATATTGGCAAATATGGTTAACTTCAAAATGACCAAGAGAACAACTCTTAATATGTCCAGTGATGGCCAAGTGGTCAGAGCAAAGGGTTAGAGATCCAAGGCCATCACAAGAGACGTGGGTTCGAATCACCACGATGATACTGAAATTATCCAGAAAATTCATTTTAGCCCGTTTTTGGGGTCAAAAAAAAAAGTTTTCCTTCCTTCTTTTTTCTTCTGCTCCTCCTCCTCGTTCTCCCTTTGCCCCTCCTCTCTCTGCCACACCTCTCTCACACCTGCTGCTCGTCATCCCACTTATTTCTCAGTCCTGCCTTTCTGTCTTATACCTCCCCAGGTATGCCACATCTTTCAAGTCCATGTTTTCCCTTGTCAGTGTAGCCGCGCTGCCTGTTACCATCCCCGACATTTTTCCGATAGCAGCGACTTATCTCTTACCGCCCCAGGTACCATCTCACATTTCTTCCGGTGTCCGCCTCTTGTCTCTTACCGTTACACCTTCATTCCAGTATCCGCCTCTTGTCTTGTACCGCCCCAGGTACTTTGCTGTATCCACAGTTGTCTTTGGTGGGATTCGAACCCATGCCTCATCCGTAACCTTGTCCGCAACCAACGGTGCTTGCCACTAGTGCCATCGTGGCTTTCACAACTATAACTGAACTTCGCGCAACTTTGTCTTTTCTTTTCACAACAGTTTAACATAAACATGAAAGAGATTCGAACCCCGGTCTCCAAGATGAAAGGTGAGTGCTCTACTCACTGACCCATTTGATCTGTGTAGCAGATTGCTGTCTTTAATGGGGTTTTATAGATATGTTTATGGCGAATACAAAAAAATTGTAGCAATAGAGGGATTCAAACCCATGCTTTCATGCTTAAATGGCAATTATTCTCCCACTGCACTGCAGAAGATGGTGATCATTATGACACATTTTTGTCTATAGCTATAGATAAAGCTGCAGGTACATTTAAATGTTTGCAATAGTGGGATTCGAACCCACGTCTCTGTGATGTACAAAAAAAGTTTCAATTAGGGAACAATTATCCCCTACACCACAGAGACAGAGATGATCAAGATATCTTGTTTTCAGAGTATTTCCTGTTTTTAGTCCAGCTTCAGCATTAATTCAATAAACTTCACATTGGCATTTTAAAGTTAGCAAGACTGGGACTCAAACCCACGACTCTGCGTTATAAAGAAATGCAAAGAGCGAACGCTTATCTTCTGTGCCACAGAGGAAAAAACAATTTGCTATTGATTGTTTTGAGAGTAATTGTTGGTTTTACTTCAGCTTAGGTATAAATTATTGTACATTTCAGTTAGCAAGAGTGGGACACGAACCCTTGTCTCTGCGATGTAAAAAATGCAAAGAGCAAATGATTATCCTCTACACCACAGAGGCAGGAACAGTTACAGTGTGGTTGTTTTGACAGTAATTCTTGTTCTCAGCTTAAGCATTAATTACAATAAATGTAGCATTTGCAAGAGTGGGATTCAAACCCTCATCTCTGCTATGTAAAAGATGCAAAGAGCAAATAATTATCCTCTGCGCCACAGAGCCAGGATCAATTGCCCTTTGTTTGTTCTGAGAATAATTCTTGTTTTTAATTATAATAGATTTCTCTTTAGCAATAGTGGGTTTCAAACCCACATCTCTGCGATCGAAAAGTCTCAAAGTGTGAACATTTATCTTCTGCCCCACAGAGGCAGCAACAATTACTGTGTGCCTTTTTTGATAGTAATGTTTGAATTCCATGCAGGTGAATTATATTTAAATTTTAAATTCATGCAGAGTCAGGTATTGAACTCAGATCAGCAAGAACACCTCACTGTTACATGACGACACACTAACCACTAGGCTATGGGGACTGAGATGCAGAATCACTCTGATGGCTAATTTAATCATATCTCAATCACATCCTTAAAATGTCCTTGATTAACAGCTTCACCTGATTTCAATTAAGACTGTTAGTTCACTCAGGAAAGTGGCTCATCAGGAGCAGACGCTGATCTGATCTCTTACAGCTCTCTATTATATGTAAACCTGCCACTTAATGCCAACAAATATTCAGTGTTGAAAGTTGTGAAAATTTCCTAAGAGTGATTTGAACACACGTTACACTAAGACACTAATAGTCTCAGAATATATTTTGTCCCCTGTGTTATGCATTTACAACATATCTGCTGGTTCAGCTCATGAAGAAATATCGTATATATAGTGCTGAAGAGGGATTTGAACTTCAGGCTTAAGCACAGAAACTTTTTATACATTTATTTTGTCAGACTGTTCATGACTCATATCATAACTTAAGTTCAAGCCCATGATCTGTCATGTTGTACATTTTCTGTATTTCTGCTGTTCAACTAATTTTTAGATAATTTTAAAATGTCACACGTTCACACAACTATTAATAAAGCAAAATCAAATAAATGACCAAAGTAAAGAACACCAAATAAACTGATATATTATAGAAATGCATTAATAACTTAATAGATATATTTTCCACATCCTCAGTTTCGTCTCATAAATGTTTTGTTTTTTGTATGTTTTGTAATTATTTGAACAGCAGAGTTTGTCCAATTTGCTCTGAAGCCTCTTCTGATCTTAAAGTCCTTCATTAGCCGCCTCAGGTGTTTATCATCAGGTAATTCTGGAAAGTGGATCTTCAGGATCAGGATTTTTCACCTTAAGAAATAAAAAACTACTCTGTACTCTAGTTTCATGGATTGATGCAGATCCTCTTATTGTCCACAAGATAGAGCTGAAACTCTGATTTTGTGCATCTCTTTGTTATAAATGAAGCGGACTTGAAATGAAAACAAGTTTATTAGTCATTATATAATACATACTTTATTTGTTCAAACATGCCGTATGCACTCAGTGATCAGTCAAATGTTAAATGCTTTAAAAACCAACAGTGATTCCACAACAAAAATAAGTGAACGTTAGCCAAGACATGAAAATAAAATGAAGCTCTAAAATAAATTATTTAGAGATAATCAGGTTATTTCGCCAATTCATAAATATTAATGTATAATTCACTCATTTATGACAGTCAAAAGCTTAAAGTTCTCCATCAGCTCTACTAGGCGGCGTGAGCGGCAAACTAATATGGTATATTACTATTGTTATTGTTAATTAGTGAAAATTATAGATGTTTTCAGTTGTCTTGATTAAATATCAGGTTTATTCCACCAGATATTAATGTCTTACATTTTCTGAAGTTTTGTGTTGTGTTGTCTTAGGCCCCGTTTACACTAGTGCGTTTTAGTTTGAAAACGCATAAGTTTTGCTACGGTTACGCCATCCGTCCACACTACGCCGGAGTTCTCGAGCGCCGAAAACGGAGCTTTTTGAAAACGCTGGAAAGGCCGTTTTCATTCTAAAACGCTGCTGTTCCGTCTCAGTGTGGATGGGGAAAGACGGAGACATCTGAAAACGGAGGCGGGGCTGCAAACGTTCGCCTGTCTGATTGGGGCTTTTCCTCAATATTAAGTAGCCCACACACAGTTCAGTCTCGCATCCTCTTCTTGTAAGTTAAGACTTCGCAAGTTTGATCAAGGCTGCAGTCTCCCCCTTCTCAGTTTGATATGGAAAACATACCGAGGACACGGGTAAATCTTTAAAGGGAACAGTGTACTTTATAACTTCATTCACATCACCTTGGCTACGTTGTTTCACTTTCTCAACAATAAAATGTAAACATGATTTAAGAAACTGCATATTTCCTTTTTAATATTAGAAAACTTAACAGACAGCAGAAATGTTGAGGCGTCGTGCTGGATATATGAGCGTCATCTTCACTGTGTGGATATTTATAACAAAACGGAGCCGATAACAACCGTTTCCTTTCAATTTCAGTGAAAATACGAAACGCACCCTCTCTTTTGCTGAATATCAGTTTTAATAATCGATAATTATAAAAGTATAACATACAATAAGTTTATACATTGTAGGAAATAAAGGCAAGCGATCAGTCAATCTACCTGGATTAATCATTAACTTATCTTTGCGCTTAACCAAAACATGTTACCCGTGAACAAGTAACTTAATAGATTCCAATGACCAAAGTCAGGGAATTGGCCTATGTCGTTAGATAAAGACAACAACATGAATGAAATATCACGTTTAGCAAATATAGTGAGATTACATCCAGCGGGAGATGCTTGATGAGCAGTCCGACAAGCAGAGCTCTCATCTGGGTAGAAATGCTGGAGCGCTTGCCCGAGAGTGTGTGTGTGGTCACGTGATGTGCGTTTTCAGCGTTTTGGTGTGGACGGAGAGCTGTTCAGAAACGCTGGGTAAAACGCGAGTGTGGACGTGGATCGTTTTCATTCTACAACGCCGTTTTAAAACTAAAACGCTATAGTGTAAACGGGGCCTTAAAGTGATAAGCACCTCTCATTATAAATGACTTATTTTCTGCAACAAAGAAAAACTAACTTTAGACTTCAGCTAACTTTAAAATACTGATATGTATATTTATATATACTACATAAAATTAAGTTAGTTGTTGTGTTTCTCCTACAAAATAAAGTCTGTGTTTGGGTCATACAGTCAATAAAATCAGAGCTGTGGGACGTGTGAATAGACTAGACAGTCCCTGTCATGCAGGATATCCACTCACTCATGGACAGGTAAGATGTTGTGAACTAAATAACTAAATTGTAACGCACTGATCTGACCTTGTGTATCTGTCTTTGATTCAGTAAACTGTATTTAGTCATCAGCTCACACAGAAATTAATGATCATTCATTCAAATCTGCCAAAAATAACCAATCAAGCTTTACTATAAGTGCATGATGAATGATCAGACCCTCTGAAGTTTGGCTGTGGTTCAACCTGTGTTGGAAAAGGAGTGTTTGTCATTGTTGATTCATCCATCTAGAACCATCCATAGACCCAGAGCTTTACATCTTCTTCATCACTGAAACAGAGAAAGAAAAATGATGGTGATTAATCTTTGTGTTAAACTAACATTTATTAGTTTTTTAACTGTTTAAACAAAACAAAATACTTTATGATCCCTAAAGCACATGCTGCACACTTTATAACCGAAATGAATGAATAGTATTGACTGTTAGGATTTTTTCTAAGTAGAGATATAAAAAGTGCAAATATAAAAGTGTAATGCATGTTTCTTCTTAGAATAACTAATCTGAGGTTATGAGTTTCTTTCAAACTCAGACTTGGAAGTGCTCAAAATGTTAAAAAGTCATTTCTGAGAATAATTTGTCTAAATCTGTGCTGTGCTCCCAGATGAAAAAAACAATAGAAACATGAAGTATTTATAGTGGCTTAAATGGTTATGATACTAACTGCATTAGTTTTAAAAGGAAACCTTCTATGGAGATCTGATATATGACCATCTTTATGTTATGTATATTTGTAAACAGCCATTTTTAAAAAAAACATGTTGTATATATGACAAATGTGTGAAATACAAACCTGAACTTGCAATATTGTATTGGTGGTAACTGGATGGTAAACCTGAAGTCCTACTAGATTAGTTTGCAGATTCCAGCAGTATTGATATAAAAGCTGCTGAAATCTGCAAACAAGACACGGAAAAACACTTTAGAATAAAAGAATAGAATAAAGAATAAAAGAGGCTCGTGCATGTAAATAATAAATAAAGTCAAGCGCACATCTACTTTACCCAGAGTCTCGGAGGATTGCCCATTCATTCCTGAGTGTGTTTACATGAGCTTCTCAGTTCAGCTCTTTTAATCCATCAGTTTAAAGCTGATCTCGATCTTCTGCCGGTCGATACACTCTCAATAATAAATGAGTATATTTTATATACTCGAGTATATTTTAAATCTTTTAAATCTCTCTTCGCTGTTCACACGACTGACTGCGCGTCCACCTTGTGTTTACTTCCTTAATGCGGATACACCTATTGACCACAAGCCGGAGCTGAAGATCACCCATACACGAGTTCATTAGTCACGTTTTCTTGAGTATAATAATTAGACAATGCAGTCAGAATTAATTATTGTGCTTGTAATACGACATTAAACTATAAAAATAATAATTTTAAGTCTGTTTAAGCCTACAACGCGGACTTTATGTTGTAACTTGTAGCGCAGTTCTCCATCCGCCCCACTAGGGGGCGCGCACTGCTTCACGTTATGTCTAACTCGCAGCTTTCAGGTGTTTGACACTGACAGCATGAGGCTTGAAGATACAACAGGTAAAACAAATCCTGACAGCTCCGTGATTGTATTATAATATCTATAAACAACGCACAAACAAACTGAACAGACACGCCGCGCTGTAAAGTGCAGTAATACAGTGACAAGAGACGCACCTGTAAGTAACTTTACCGTGTTTTTTCCGTATTGTTTGTGTTGACGTTTGATTTTTATGTCGTTTCCCAAAGCAGGACATGTCAGTTTAGCTCAACATAAACATATAAAAGTCACACTGTTCTAATCTTATCAGAGTTGTGTTTAAAATGTTTTATTTATTGAGCATTATGACTGTCTTCCTTAATTTAATCGGCTTTATTGCAGACTTTCATGACATGATGCTCTCATGCTGAACTAGTGCTGTGTTGATTTTATAATGAATTATGTCATATATTAAACGTTTTTAAATATGTTTGTCACTATTAATATACATTTTATAATTACTATTATTATCTTTTTATAATTTATAGTATATTCTGTATTATTTGGGCTGTAAAAGCTGAATAATCAATATTTGTATTTCTATAGTTTAATATCAGGTATAGTTGAACTGAACAGTTGGGCCAATGCAAGTCTCTTTAATAAATCTTTTTATTGAATTATTTCAGTGTCCCGTTAACCAGATGCTGAAACACAGAGATCATTTGAAGACAATAACCTCAACATCAACAGCACGTGAGTCACACAGCGTTCATTCATTCACAGTCAAGCATTTATTATGATGAAGGGTTTTATGAGTGTTTCTATATTTGTGTGTTGATTTATTAAGACTTTTCAGTTCTTGTTTAATTGTCCATTTTAAATGCTTTAGGCTTTGTTTATTAGGTTTTCCTAATATCAATGTTTAAGTTTAATGATTAATGTATTTACCTTTTTTCATTCTTTATTATTTGTATGTTACTAGATGTGTTTGTAGTCTAATAGTGACTTTTTTCAGCTGTTAAAAATTTTTACACTTAATTTTTTTTTTTTTATCATATTGGCATATATGGTTAACTTCAAAATAACCAAGAGAACAACTCTTAATATGTCCAGTGATGGCCAAGTGGTCAGAGCAAAGGGTTAGAGATCCAAGGCCATCACAAGAGACGTGGGTTCAAATCACCACGATGATACTGAAATTATCTAGAAAGTTCATTTTAGGCTGTTTTTGGGGTCAAAAAAAAAAATTTTCCTTCCTTTTTTTTTTCTTCTTCTGCTCCTCCTCCTCGTCTCTCAGTCCCGCCCCTCTCTGCCACACCTCTTTCACACCTGCTGCTTGTTATCCCACTTATTTCTCAGTCCTGCCTTTCTGTCTTATACCTCCCAGGTATGCCACATGTTTTTAGGTCCGTGTTTTCCACGGCTGTGTAGCCGCGTTGCCTGTTACCATCTCCGACATTTTTCCGATAGCTGCCACTTGCCTCTTACCGCCCCAGGTACCTTCCCACATTTCTTCCAGTATCCGCGCCTTGTCTCTTACCGTTACACCTTCATTCCGGTATCCGCCTCTTGTCTTGTACCGCCCCAGGTACTTTGCTGTATCCACAGCTGTCTTTGGTGGGATTCGAACCCATGCCTCATCCGTAACCTTGTCCTCAACCAACGGTGCTTGCCACTAGTGCCATCGTGGCTTTCACAACTATAACTGAACTTCGCGCAACTTTGTCTTTTCTTTTCACAACAGTTTAACATAAACATGAAAGGGATTCGAACCCCGGTCTCCAAGATGAAAGGTGAGTGCTCTACCCACTGACCCATTTGATCTGTGTAGCAGATTGCTGTCTTTAATGGGGTTTTATAGATATGTTTATGGCGAATACAAAAAAACTGTAGCAGTATAGGGATTCAAACCCATGCTTTCATGCTTTAATGTCAATTATTCTCCCACTGTACTACAGGAGATGTTGATGATTGTGAAATATTTTTGTCTATAGCTATAGATAAAGCTGCAGGTACATTTAAATGTTTGCAATAGTGGGATTCGAACCCACGTCTCTGTGATGTAAAAAAAAGTTCCACATAGGGAACGATTATCCCCTACACCACAGAGACAGAGATGATCAGGGTATCTTGTTTTCAGAGTATTTCCTGTTTTCAGTCCAGCTTCAGCATTAATTCAATAAACTTCACATTGGCATTTTAAAGTTTGCAAGACTGGGACTCAAACCCACGACTCTGCGTTATAAAAAAATGCAAAGAGCGAACGATTATCTTCTGTGCCACAGAGGAAAAAACAATTGGTTAATGAGTGTTTTGAGAGTAATTGTTGGTTTTACTTCAGTTTAGGTATAAATTATTGTACATTTCAGTTAGCAAGAGTGGGACGCGAACCCTTGTCTCTGCGATGTAAAAAATGCAAAGAGCAAATAATTATCCTCTACACCACAGAGGCAGGAACAGTTGCAGTTTGGTTGTTTTGACAGTAATTCTTGTTCTTAGCTTAAGCATTAATTACAATAAATGTAGCATTTGCAAGAGTGGGATTCAAACCCTCATCTCTGCTATGTAAAAGATGCAAAGAGCAAATAATTATCCTCTGCACCACAGAGCCAGGAACGATTGCCCTTTGTTTGTTCTGAGAATAATTCTTGTTTTTAATTATAATAGATTTCACTTTAGCAATAGTGGGTTTCAAACCCACATCTCTGCGATCGAAAAGTCTCAAAGTGTGAACATTTATCTTCTGCCCCACAGAGGCAGCAACAATTGCTGTGTGCCTTTTTTGATAGTAATGTTTGAATTCCATGCAGGTGAATTATATTTTAATTTTATATTCATGCAGAGTCAGGTATTGAACTCAGGTCAGCAAGAACACCTCACTGTTACATGACGACACACTAACCACTAGGCTATGGGGACTGAGATGCAGAATCACTTTGATGGCTAATTTAATCATATCTCAATCACATCCTTAAAATTTCCTTGATTAACAGCTTCACCTGATTTCAATTAAGACTGTTAGTTCACTCAGGAAAGTGGCTCATCAGGAGCAGACGCTGATCTGATCTCTTACAGCTCTCTATTATATGTAAACCTGCCACTTAATGCCAACAAATATTCAGTGTTGAAAGTTGTGAAAATTTCCTAAAAGAGATTTGAACACACGTTACACTAAGACACTAATAGTCTCAGAATATATTTTGTCCCTTGTGTTATGCCTTTACAACATATCTGCTGGTTCAGCTCATGTAGAAATATTGTATATATAGTGCTGAAGAGGGATTTGAACTTCAGGCTTAAGCACAGAAACTTTTTATACATTTATTTTGTCAGACTGTGTTCATGACTCATAACTTATTAAGTTCAAGCCCATTATCTGTTCACATGTTGCATATTTTCTGTATTTCTGCTGTTCAACTATTTTTTTAGATAATTTAAAAATGTCACACGTTCACAACTATTAATAAAGCAAAATCAAATGAATGACCAAAGTAAAGAACACCAAATGAACTGATATATTATAAAAATGCATTAATAACTTAATAAATGTATTTTCCACATCCTCAGTTTCGTCTCATAAATGTTTTGTAATTATTTGAACAGCAGAGTTTGTCAAATTTGCTCTGAAGCCTCTTCTGATCTTAAAGTCCTTCATTAGCCGCCTCAGGTGTTTATCATCAGGTAATTCTGGAAAGTGGATCTTCAGGATCAGGATTTTTCACCTTAAGAAATAAACTACTCTGTACTCCAGTTTCATGGATTGATGCAGATCCTCTTATTGTCCACAAGATGGAGCTGAAACTCTGATTTCGTGCATCTTTGTTATAAATGAAGCGGACTTGAAATGAAAACAAGTTTATTAGTCATTATATAATACACACTTTATTTGTTTAAACATGCGTATGCACTCAGTAATCAGTCACACGTTACTTTAAATGCCTTGTTAAGAATCTGTCAACAGTGATTTGACATCAAATATAAATGAACATTACCCAAGACATGTGAAAATAAAATTGAGAATATACTAAAATCATAGTTTAGTTCACCAATTTATGAATATTGATCTTCAATCTTCTCACTTATGACTTGTCGAAGTTCTCCATCATCTCCACTTGGCAGCGTGAGAGATCCTGCAGTGACCATAGCTAGCCATTTAGATTTTTATTCATTCTCAGGATATGAATTCTTATTATCAACAATTAAATGTGAACGGCGTCCTATGGTGACATTTAACTGGTAAGAATAGTTACAGATATCAAGAACTATATTTCCTAAGCCACAGTCACACTGCTCTTTTTGTCCCATAGACTTCCATCCATATGCACATGCATGCAGCAGACTGGAACCGCAAGCTGGTGTGATGAGTTTCTCATGTAATGTAATGTGTATTTATATAGCGCATTCATCGTGTATGGCCATACACCTAAAACGCTTCACAATCAAGAGGGATGTGGAGGTCTCTCCACACCACCACCAGAGTGCAGCATCCATGATGTGATGAAAGCCACAGGATAACTACGCCAGTGCTTCACCACACACCAGCTATAGGGGGAGTACAGAGACAGTGATAGAGCCAATTCTGTGGATGGGGAAGAGTGGGAGGACATGATGGATAAGGGCAGATGAAGGGAATTTAGCCAGGACACTGGGGTTACACCCCTACTCTTTAGAAGAAGTGCCATGGATTTTCCGATGACCACAAAGAGTCAGGATTTCAGTTTAACGTCTCATCCGAAGACAGATGTCGCTGCATTTAAAAGTTCAAGATTGGTGACTGGCGAAATCACATTATACGATTGTGTGAGAGAAATAGAAGATCAAAACAAGACCTCTCTGTGCAGAAATGTAAAATATGAAGCAGTCGCTCGCTTTATCATTGTCTAATCATCATCTTATATCCTGCCCCTTTTCACAGTGCCGTATCTCACATGCTCAACTCTAGTGTGACTGTGGCTTTACTCAGTTCAGTTTAGTAAACTTGCCCACAACCAACGGTGCGGGTTCGAAATTCCTGATATTGCATTTGCTTAACAGGATATGAAGTCTTGATGTGAAGAATGCTGATTGTTGATGTCTAGAATTCAGACCCAGAGAATGAATGAGTCAAAACAACTTGCTGAAACCTGAAAGTCAAAAGAACAATGACAGCTGTTAATATCACTCAATGACACATAGTTCAGTAAAACAGCAAATAAAACAGACACACAGTGCAGATAAAATGAAAATGAATGAAATAAAAGGAATCAAGCGTCAAATGACTTGTTACTTTCTGCCACAAAACACTTTAGATTTTATCCAACTTCAAAATACTGATATTCATATGCAACGTAAAATGAAGTGAGTTGATGTGTTTCTCCAACAAAATAAAGTCTGTGTTTGGGTCATTCAGTCACAAAAGCAGAGTTGAGGGACGTGTGAATAGATTAGACAGTCCCTGTCATGCAGAACATCCACTCATGGGGCTCTATCATACACCCGGCGCAACAAGGCGCAAGACGTGTTTGCCCCGACGTGTTGCTATTTTCAGACCAGCGCAACACTAATTTTCCAGTTTTCCGCCACGTTGTTTAAATAGCAAATCTATTTGCGCCACTTTGTGGACTCATGGGTGTTTTGGTCTAGAAAGGGGTGTGTTACGGTGCATTGCTGGCACGTTGCTATTTTGAGGAACTGAAATAAACTGCACTAGCACTGCTGAAAGCAGGTCTAAAGTCCAGCGAAGAGTGCGTTAGTTATGCGCTTCGCTTACACATTGCTTAATACACTCAGGATGTACAGCAATACAGAAATCGTCACTTTGGAATTATAAGGTTTTATCTGCATTCTGAATGATTTTGAGATATTGAGCTTCAAAGTTTTCGCGTTCCATAGCAAACAGTATGTGTGTAACATTTGTTTTTTGAAATAAAACATCTTAAAATGTAAACAACTTATAAAAGACATTCCATAATGTAAATGAGTTGTCATTTAAAAAGAATGCCAATAACTCAATTTTGACAGAAATGTCAGACAGAGCCTTATAAGTCTAAATGACGAAACGTCTTTACAAATGAAAATGAATTAAAGGAAAGAAATATAATAAAATGTATTACTTTCTATGTAATTATAAAAGAACACTGCCTCCATGCCTTCTTCATCTCAGGGGGCTTTTTTCAGTTTATTCACGACAACTTGCTTTTGTATAATGTTATTATTATTAGTAGAAGTATTTGTTATATGCATATTTATATTTGTTTTAATAAAAACAAGCTTAGATTTGTCCACCTGTCCAAAATAGTTTTGACAAAAATCTTTGCGCTTAACAAACTAAATTAATTATGTAGGGTAATGGATGTCCTCAGCAGAGTGCGTTCAACACTGTTTCCTTATCCACGAAAGAGAGAAAGAGAATGGGAGATGAGTCTCTGATTGGTTTATACTCAAAACACACTCATAACTCATTAGGAGACTAAGCAGAACCCTGTTACCGCGGCGCAAAGTGTATTTTTCTGTCCTTAAAATAGCAAAAGTGGATTGGGACGCACGCTTAATGCGTGTATAATGCCTAATGCCCAAATAACCAATCAAGCTTTACTATAAGTGCATGATGAAGGATCAGACCCTCTGAAGTTTGGCTGTGGTTTGACCTGTGTTGGAAAAGGAGTGTTTGTCATTGACTCATCCATCTTGAGCCATCCATAGACCCAGAGCTTTACATCTTCTTCATCACTGAAACAGAGAAAAGAAAAAATGATGGTGATTAATCTTTGTGGTAAACTAAAATATTTATTTATTATTATGTAAAAAAAATACTTTATGATCCCTAAAACACATGCTGCAGACTACATAACCGAAATGAATGAATAGTATTGACTATTAGGATTTTTTAATTTTATGTAGCTACATAAATAGTGCACAAAGATATTGTCAACATAAAAGTGTAATGTGTGTTTTAAAATGTATAATCTGAGGTTATGGGTTTCTTTCAAAATCAGACTTGGAAGTAGGCATAGAGATGCGCGGTTGGCGGTTATAGCCGCGGACTCCGCGGATAAACCGCGGATCGGGCGGATGACGTTACGAAAAAATAATATTTTAATTAAATTCGGGCGGGTGGCGGGCGGTTGTACTGTTTTTATATTCATAGCTGGCGCACCAACGAAAAAGCCTAGGATTGACTTCACAGAATGGGAGGAGGAATCGGATACACTAATTCTGGATGAAGTGTACAGAAGTATTCCTCTACAAACTTCCGTATAGACGGATCAGCAGAGGAAAATCTACTTTCCTTTTGGGAGAAATAAGACCAGGCATTCCCATGACTACAGCACCTTTCCAAGAGAATTCTATGCATTTCAGCAACAAGTGCTGCGAGCGAGCGCTCCTTCAGTGCAGCAGGGCGCATTATAGTGGCTATGCAGGCGCTCCCGTTTGAATCCTGACACTGTAGATGCTATTTTATTCCTGCATTGTGCCAAGAAAAAATCAAACTAGACCTAAGGTCAGGCATATTAAACCAATTAGCCTATGTTATTTAGGCTACACATATGTTCAATATAAACTTTTGAGTTCGGTCAGCTGATAATTTTACGTTCATATTGGTTTAGCCTATTCTATTCTAGACATGTTGGCCGACACGTCCTTGTATCTTTAGCGTCACTTCAAAGCGTCGTCAATTAATGACTTACACGTTTGGATTAACTGCATGTCTACATTAAAGTCATTCTCTATTATATAATGATCAATAAAGAAACATTCATTTAATAAAAAAAAGGAATAAGCCATTCAAATAAAGAGCCCAATCAGCAGATGGCGGGCGGGTGCGGTTTTAAAAATTGGTCTAAAATGTTAGTGCGGATGGATGGCGGACGGATGATTAATTTTGTCATGCGGTTGCGGATGAAATAATAGCCCATCCGCGCATCTCTAGTAGGCATCGTAACCGTTTTCAGGTTTACCGGGGTTTGGAAAAGTCAAGGTTTTTAAACCACCCAAAATGTTCTGCTATACTGTTCCTATACGGTATATGTAAGATAGCTATTATTATTTTTTTACTTTTTGTTTTGTTTTTTGTTTCACAACAGTATCCTAAAAGCAGAAAAGATCTCCAAACTCGCCTTTTCATGATTGAGGTAAAGCTGGATTTATATTCACACATTCAGACTTTCTCCTTAATAATATAATCTCTGAGAAGTTTTATTTGCACATTCAAAATGGTGAAATCATATTAGCAGCCAATGGCTGTCAAAGTACAACACTGTTGGCAGTCTATTAAATAGTGCTAATGTCGTATTCAAGTCATACTTACATGCGATTTCAGACTGAATATTCAAAGCACCATGGTAAACAATACGAGTACGTCACAAGTTGCCACTGAACGAATGTGCGAATCTAAAACAAACTTTACTGCTATCTGTTCAAGTTGTGTTTTCAAGCTAATGAAGACAGCAGAAGTCATATTGTCATATTTGTGTTTAAAGGGGGAAAAACTTCTTGTTTTTTACCCAAACATTTAAAAAGCACATATTTTAGAGCAGTAATCACAATACAGTAAAACTGTGAAACCATGATGTTTTTATCCAAGCTTATCATACCGTCAGAATCATATAGCAGCCATGCCTACTTGGAAATGCTCAAAATATTAATAAGTCATTTTTAGGAATAATTTGTCCAAATCTGTGCTGTGCCCCAGATGATAAAAAAACAGAAGAAACCCTTGAAGAATTTAGGGTTACAATAGTAACTGCATTGGTTTAAATAGAAAATGCATTGGTCCTTGTGGGTCTTTACTGGTAACCTTCTATACCATGTGGAGACCTGATATATGACCAAACCATATATGAACACATACATTTATAGCTAAAATATTTAAACAAATATCATCATGTTATGTATATTTGTAAACAGCCAATTTAAAAACATGTTGTATACATGACATATGTGTGAAATGCAAACCTGAACTTGCAATATTGTTTTAGTGGTAACTGGATGGTAAACCTGAAGTCCTACTAGATTAGTTTGCAGATTCCAGCAGTATTGATATAAAAGCTGCTGAAATCTGCAAACAAGACACAGAAAAACACTTTAGCGGTGAACAAAAGCGGCGCACGTGCATGAAAATAAAGTCAAGCGCACATCTACTTTACCCAGAGTCTCGGAGGATTGCCCATTCATTCCTGAGTGTGTTTACATGAGCTTCTCAGTTCAGCTCTTTTAATCCATCAGTTTAAAGCTGATCTCGATCTTCTGCCGGTCGAGACACTCACGAACTCAAGCGTGTTGTAAAATATCCTCGAGAACATTAAAATCTCTTAAATCTCTCTTCGCTGTTCACACGACTGACTGCGCGTCCACCTTGTGTTTACTTCATTAATGCGGATACACCTATTGACCACAAGCCGGAGCTGAAGATCACCCATACACGAGTTGATTAGTCACGTTTTCTTGAGTATAATAATTAGACAATGCAGTCAGAATTAATTATTGTGCTTGTAATACGCTATTAAATTATAAAAATAATAATGTTAAGCCTGTTTAAGCCTACAACGCGGACTTTATGTTATAAACTGTAGCGCAGTTCTCCATCCGCTCTACTAGGGGGCGCTTCAGCTTCAGGTGTTTGACACTCACTGACAGCATGAGGCTTGACGATACAACACGTAAAACAAATCCTGACAGCTCCGTGATTGTATTATAATATCTGTAAACAACACATAAACAAACTGAACAGACACGCCGCGCTGTAAAGTGCAGGAATACAGTGAAAAGAGACGCACCTGTAAGTAACTTTACCGTGTTTTCTCCGTATTGTTTGTGTTGACGTTTGATTTTTATGTCGTTTCCCAAAGCAGGACATGTCAGTTTAGCTCAACATAAACATATAAAAGTCACACTATTTTATATACATACACACATTTGTACGTATTTCTATAGTTTAATATCAGGTATAGTTGAACTGAACAGTTGGGCCAATGCGAGTCTCTTTAATAAATCTTTTTATTGAATTATTTCAGTGTCCCGTTAACCAGACGCTGAAACACAGAGATCATTTGAAGACAATAACCTCAACATCAACAGCACGTGAGTCACACAGCGTTCATTCATTCACAGTCAAGCATTTATTATAATGAAGGGTTTTATGAGTGTTTCTATATTTGTGTGTTGATTTATTAAGACTTTTCAGTTCTTGTTTAATTGTCCATTTTAAATGCTTTAGGCTTTGTTTATTAGGTTTTCCTAATATCAATGTTTCAGTTTAATGATTAATGTATTTACCTTTTTTCATTCTTTAATATTTGTATATTACTAGATGTGTTTGTAGTCTAATTGTGACTTTTTTCAATTGTTATAGTTTTTACACTTTACTTTTTTTTTATTATATTGGCATATATGGTTAACTTCAAAATAACCAAGAGAACAGTTCTTAATATGTCCAGTGATGGCCAAGTGGTCAGAGCAAAGGGTTAGAGATCCAAGGCCATCACAAGAGACGTGGGTTCGAATCACCACGATGATACTGAAATTATCCAGAAAGTTCATTTTAGCCCGTTTTTGGGGTCAAAAAAAAAGTTTTCCTTCCTTTTTTTTTTTCTTCTGCTCCTCCCCGTTGTGTCTTAGCCCGGTCTCTCTCTGCCACACCTCTCTCACACCTGCTGCTCGTTATGCCACTTATTTCTCAGTCCTGCCTTTCTGTCTTATACCTCCCCAGGTATGCCACATGTTTCAGGTCCGTGTTTTTCAGGGCTGTGTTGCTGCGCTGCTTGTTACCATCTCTGACATTTTTCCGATAGCTGCCACTTGTCTCTTACCGCTTCAGGTACCTTCTCACATTTCTTCCAGTGTCCGCCTTTTGTCTCTTACCGTTACACCTTCATTCCGGTATCCGCCTCTTGTACCGCCCCAGGTACTTTGCTGTATCCACAGCTGTCTTTGGTGGGATTCGAACCCATGCCTCAACCGTAACCTTGTCCTCAACCAACGGTGCTTGCCACTAGTGCCATCGTGGCTTTCACAGTGAGAACTGAACTTCGCGCAACTTTGTCTTTTCTTTTCACAACAGTTTAACATAAACATGAAAGGGATTTGAACCCCGGTCTCCAAGATGAAAGGTGAGTGCTCTACCCACTGACCCATTAGGTCTGTGCAGCAGATTTCTGTCTTTAATGGGGTTTTATAGATATGTTTATGGCGAATACAAAAAATTGTAGCAGTATAGGGATTCAAACCCATGCTTTCATGCTTTAATGGCAATTATTCTCCCACTGCACTGCAGAAGATGTTGATTGAAGTGACAAATTTTTGTCTATAGCTATAGATAAAGCTGCAGGTACATTTAAATGTTTGCAATAGTGGGATTCGAACCCACGTCTCTGTGATGTAAAAAAAAGTTCCACATAGCGAACAATTATCCCCTACACCACAGAGACAGAGATGATCAAGGGGTCTTGTTTTCAGAGTATTTCCTGTATTCAGTCCAGCTTCAGCATTAAGTCAATAAACTTCACGTTGCCATTTTAAAGTTAGCAAGACTGGGACTCAAACCCACGACTCTGCGTTATAAAAAAATGCAAAGAGCGAACGATTATCTTCTGTGCCACAGAGGAAAAAAACAATTAGTTAATGATTGTTTTGAGAGTAATTGTTGGTTTTACTTCAGTTTAGGTATAAATTATTGTACATTTCAGTTAGCAAGAGTGGGACGCGAACCCTTGTCTCTGCGATGTAAAAAGGCAAAGAGCAAATAATTATCCTCTACACCACAGAGGCAGGAACAGTTGCAGTATGGTTGTTTTGACAGTAATTCTTGTTCTTAGCTTAAGCATTAATTACAATAAATGTAGCATTTGCAAGAGTGGGATTCAAACCCTCATCTCTGCTATGTAAAAGATGCAAAGAGCAAATAATTATCCTCTGCACCACAGAGCTAGGATCGATTGCGCTTTGTTTGTTCTGAGAATAATTCTTGTTTTTAATTATAATAGATTTCACTTTAGCTATAGTGGGTTTCAAACCCACATCTCTGCGATCGAAAAGTCTCAAAGTGTGAACATTTATCTTCTGCCCCACAGAGGCAGCAACAATTTCTGTGTGCCTTTTTTTGATAGTAATGTTTGAATTCCATGCAGGTGAATTATATTTTAATTTTATATTCATGCAGAGTCAGGTATTGAACTCAGGTCAGCAAGAACACCTCACTGTTACATGACGACACACTAACCACTAGGCTATGGGGACTGAGATGCAGAATCACTTTGATGGCTAATTTAATCATATCTCAATCACATCCTTAAAATTTCCTTGATTAACAGCTTCACCTGATTTCAATTAAGACTGTAAGTTCACTCAGGAAAGTGGCTCATCAGGAGCAGACGCTGATCTGATCTCTTACAGCTCTCTATTATATGTAAACCTGCCACTTAATGCCAACAAATTTTCAGTGTTGAAAGTTGTGAAAATTTCCTAAGAGTGATTTGAACACACGTTACACTAAGACACTAATAGTCTCAGAATATATTTTGTCCCCTGTGTTATGCATTTACAACATATCTGCTGGTTCAGCTCATGAAGAAATATTGTATATATAGTGCTGAAGAGGGATTTGAACTTCAGGCTTAAGCACAGAAACTTTTTATACATTTATTTTGTCAGACTGTGTTCATGATTCTTTAATTATAACTTATTAAGTTCAAGCCCATTATCTGTTCACATGTTGCATATTTTCTGTATTTCTGCTGTTCAACTAATTTTTAGATAATTTTAAAATGTCACACGTTCACACAACTATTAATAAAGCAAAATCAAATGAATGACCAAAGTAAAGAACACCAAATAAACTGATATATTATAAAAATGCATTAATAACTTAATAAATGTATTTTCCACATCCTCAGTTTCGTCTCATAAATGTTTTGTAATTATTTGAACTGCAGAGTTTGTCAAATTTGCTCTGAAGCCTCTTCTGATCTTAAAGTCCTTCATTAGCCGCCTCAGGTGTTTATCATCAGGTAATTCTGGAAAGTGGATCTTCAGGATCAGGATTTTTCACCTTAAGAAATAAAAAACTACTCTGTACTCCAGTTTCATGGATTGATGCAGATCGTCTTATTGTCCACAAGATGGAGCTGAAACTCTGATTTCGTGCATCTTTGTTATAAATGAAGCGGACTTGAAATGAAAACAAGTTTATTAGTCATTATATAATACATACTTTATTTGTTTAAACATGCGTATGCACTCAGTAATCAGTCACACGTTACTTTAAATGCCTTGTTAAGAATCTGTCAACAGTGATTTGACATCGAAAATAAGTGAACATTACCCAAAACATGTGAAAATAAAATTGAGAATATACTAAAATCATAGTTTAGTTCACCAATTTATGAATATTAATCTTCAATCTTCTCACTTATGACTTGTCGAAGTTCTCCATCATCTCCACTTGGCAGCGTGAGAGATCCTGCAGTGACCATAGCTAGCCATTTAGATTTTTATTCATTCTCAGGATATGAATTCTTATTATCAACAATTAAATGTGAACGGCGTCCTATGGTGACATTTAACTGGTAAGAATAGTTACAGATATCAAGAACTATATTTCCTGAGCCACAGTCACACTGCTCTTTTTGTCCCATAGACTTCCATCCATATGCACATGCATGCAGCAGACTGGAACCGCAAGCTGGTGTGATCAGTTTCTCATGTAATGTAATGTGTATTTATATAGCGCATTCATCGTGTATGGCCATACACCTAAAACGCTTCACAATCAAGAGGGATGGGGAGGTCTCTCCGCACCACCACCAGAGTGCAGCATCCATGATGTGATGAAAGCCACAGGATAACTACGCCAGTGCTTCACCACACACCAGCTATAGGGGGAGTACAGAGACAGTGATAGAGCCAATTCTGTGGATGGGGATGATTGGGAGGACATGATGGATAAGAGCAGATGAAGGGAATTTAGCCAGGACACTGGGGTTACACCCCTACTCTTTAGAAGAAGTGCCATGGGTTTTCCGATGACCACAAAGAGTCACGATTTTAGTTTAACGTCTCATCCGAAGACAGATGTCGCTGCATTTAAAAGTTCAAGATTGGTGACTGGCGAAATCACATTATACGATTGTGTGAGAGAAATAGAAGATCAAAACAAGACCTCTCTGTGCAGAAATGTAAAATATGAAGCAGTCGCTCGCTTTATCATTGTCTAATCATCATCTTTTATCCTGCCCCTTTTCACAGTGCCGTATCTCACATGCTCAAACTCTAGTGTGACTGTGGCTTTACTCAGTTCAGTTTAGTAAACTTGCCCACAACCAACAGTGTGGGTTCGAAATTCAGTTCAATTCCTGATATTGCATTTGCTTAACAGGATATGAAGTCTTGATGTGAAGAATGCTGATTGTTGATGTCTAGAATTCAGACCCAGAGAATGAATGAGTCAAAACAACTTGCTGAAACCTGCAACCTGAAAGTCAAAAGAACAATGACAGCTGTTAATATCACTCAATGACACATAGTTCAGTAAAACAGCAAATAAAACAGACACACAGTGCAGATAAAATGAAAATGAATGAAATAAAAGGAATCGAGCGTCAAATGACTTGTTACTTTCTGCCACAAAACACTTTAGATTTTATCCAACTTCAAAATACTGATATTCATATGCAACGTAAAATGAAGTGAGTTGATGTGTTTCTCCAACAAAATAAAGTCTGTGTTTGGTCATTCAGTCACAAAAGCAGAGTTGTGGGACGTGTGAATAGATTAGACAGTCCCTGTCATGCAGAACATCCACTCATGGGGCTCTATCATACACCCGGCGCAACAAGGCGCAAGACGTGTTTCCCCCGACGTGTTGCTATTTTCAGACCAGCGCAACACTAATTTTCCAGTTTTCCGCCACGTTGTTTAAATAGCAAATCTATTTGTGTCACTTTGTGGACTCATGGGTGTTTTGGTCTAGAAAGGGGTGTGTTACGGTGCATTGCTGGCACGTTGCTATTTTGAGGAACTGAAATAAACTGCACTAGCACTGCTGAAAGCAGGTCTAAAGTCCAGCGAAGAGTGCGTTAGTTATGCGCTTCGCTTACACATTGCTTAATACACTCGGGATGTACAGCAATACAGAAATCATCACCTTGGAATTATAAGGTTTTATCTGCATTCTGAATGATTTTGAGATATTGAGCTTTAAAGTTTTCGCGTTCCATAGCAAACAGTATGTGTGTAACATTTGTTTTTTGAAATAAAACATCTTAAAATGTAAACAATGTATAAAAGACATTCCATAATGTAAATGAGTTGTCATTTAAAAAGAATGCCAATAACTCAATTTTGACAGAAATGTCAGACAGAACCTTATAAGTCTAAATGACGAAACGTCTTTACAAATGAAAATGAATTAAAGGAATAAAATATAATAAAATGAATTACTTTCTATGTAATTATAAAAGAACACTGCCTCCATGCCTTCTTCATCTCAGGGGGCTTTTTTCAGTTTATTCACGACAACTTGCTTTTGTATAATGTTATTATTATTAGTAGTAGTATTTATTATATGCATATTTATATTTGTTTTAATAAAAACACGCTTAGATTTGTCCACCTGTCCAAAATAGTTTTGACAAAAATCTTTGCGCTTAACAAACTAAATTAATTATGTAGGGTAATGGATGTCCTCAGCAGAGTGCGTTCAACACTGTTTCCTTATCCACGAAAGAGAGAAAGAGAATGGGAGATGAGTCTCTGATTGGTTTATACTCAAAACACACCCATAACTCATTAGGAGAATAAGCAGAACACTGTTGGACCATGCGCCACGGCGCAAAGTGTATTTTTCTGTCCTTAGAATAGCAAAAGTGGATTGGGACGCACGCTTAATGCGTTTGCACCTTGCGCTTCAGACTTTGCTCCTAGATTGTTAAAATAGAGCCCAAGGGCAGGTGAGATTGTTGTTGTGAACTAAATAACTAAATTGTAACGCACTGATCTGACCTTGCGCATCTGTTATTTGATAAACTGTATTTAGTCATCAGCTCACACAGAAATTAATGATCATTCATTCAAATCTGCCCAAATAACCAATCAAGCTTTACTATAAGTGCATGATGAAGGATCAGACCCTCTGAAGTTTGGCTGTGGTTTGAACTGTGTTGGAAAAGGAGTGTTTGTCATTGACTCATCCATCTTGAACCATCCATAGACCCAGAGCTTTACATCTTCTTCATCACTGAAACAGAGAAAAGAAAAAATGATGGTGATTAATCTTTGTGGTAAACTAAAATATTTATATATTATTATGTAAAACAAAATACTTTATGATCCCTAAAACACATGCTGCAGACTAGTAATCGAATTGAATTAATATGTATTTACTGTTAAGAATTTTTTTTTTATTTTTTTAAGTAGCTACATAAATAGTACACAAAGATATTGTCAACATAAAAGTGTAATGTGTGTTTTAAAATGAATAATCTGAGGTTATGGGTTTCTTTCAAAATCAGACTTGGAAGTAGGCATCGTAACCGTTTTCAGGTTTACCTGGCTTTGGAAAAGTCAAGGTTTTTAAACCACCCAAAATGTTCTGCTATGCTGTTCCTATACGGTATATGTAAGATAACTATTATTATTTTTTTAATTTTTTTTGTTTTGTTTTTTGTTTCACAACAGTATCCTAAAAGCAGAAAAGATCTCCAAACTCGCCTTTTCATGATTGATGTAAAGCTGGATTTATATTCACACATTCAGACTTTCTCCTTAATAATATAATCTCTGAGAAGTTTTATTTGCACATTCAAAATGGTGAAATCATATTAGCAGCCAATGGCTGTCAAAGTACAACACTGTTGGCAGTCTATTAAATAGTGCTAATGTCGTATACAAGTCATACTTACATGCGATTTCAGACTGAATATTCAAAGCACCATGGTAAACAATACGAGTATGTCACTGAACGAATGTGCGAATCTAAAACTAACTTTACTGCTATCTGTTCAAGTTGTGTTTTTCAAGCTAATGAAGACAGCAGAAGTCATATTGTCATATTTGTGTTTAAAGGGGGAAAAACTTCTTGTTTTTTTTACCCAAACTTTTAAAAAGAGCATATTTTAGAGCAGTAATCACAATACAGTAAAACTGTGAAACCATGATAAAAAAAAAAACAGAAGAAACCCTTGAAGGATTTAGGGTTACAATAGTAACTGCATTGGTTTAAATAGAAAACGCATTGGTCCTTGTGGGTCTTTACTGGTAACCTATACCATGTGGAGACCTGATATATGACCAAACCATATATGAACACATAAATTTATAGCTAAAACATTTAAACAAATATCTCCATGTTATGTATATTTGTAAACAGCCAATTTAAAAACATGTTGTATACATGACATATGTGTGAAATGCAAACCTGAACTTGCAATATTGTTTTAGTGGTAACTGGATGGTAAATCTGAAGTCCTACTAGATTAGTTTGCAGATTCCAGCAGTATTGATACGTGCATGAAAATAAAGTCAAGCGCACATCTACTTTACCCAGAGTCTCGGAGGATTGCCCATTCATTCCTGAGTGTGTTTCCATGAGCTTCTCAGTTCAGCTCTTTTAATCCATCAGTTTAAAGCTGATCTCGATCTTCTGCCGGTCGAGACACTCACGAACTCAAGCGTGTTGTAAAATATCCTCGAGAACATTAAAATCTCTTAAATCTCTCTTCGCTGTTCACACGACTGACTGCGCGTCCACCTTGTGTTTACTTCATTAATGCGGATACACCTATTGACCACATGCCGGAGCTGAAGATCACCCATACACGAGTTGATTAGACACGTTTTCTTGAGTATAATAATTAGACAATGCAGTCAGAATTAATTATTGTGCTTGTAATACGCTATTAAATTATAAAAATAATAATGTTAAGCCTGTTTAAGCCTACAACGCGGACTTTATGTTATAAACTGTAACGCAGTTCTCCATCCGCTCTACTAGGGGGCGCTTCAGCTTCAGGTGTTTGACACTCACTGACAGCATGAGGCTTGAAGATACAACACGTAAAACAAATCCTGACAGCTCCGTGATTGTATTATAATATCTGTAAACAACACATAAACAAACTGAACAGACACGCCGCGCTGTAAAGTGCAGGAATACAGTGACAAGAGACGCACCTGTAAGTAACTTTACCGTGTTTTCTCCGTATTGTTTGTGTTGACGTTTGATTTTTATGTCGTTTCCCAAAGCAGGACATGTCAGTTTAGCTCAACATAAACATATAAAAGTCACACTATTTTATGTAGATACATACACACATTTGTACGTATTTCTATAGTTTAATATCAGGTATTGTTGAACTGAACAGTTGGGCCAATGCGAGTCTCTTTAATAAATCTTTTTATTGAATTATTTCAGTGTCCCGTTAACCAGACGCTGAAACACAGAGATCATTTGAAGACAATAACCTCAACATCAACAGCACGTGAGTCACACAGCGTTCATTCATTCACAGTCAAGCATTTATTATAATGAAGGGTTTTATGAGTGTTTCTATATTTGTGTGTTGATTTATTAAGACTTTTCAGTTCTTGTTTAATTGTCCATTTTAAATGCTTTAGGCTTTGTTTATTAGGTTTTCCTAATATCAATGTTTAAGTTTAATGATTACTGTGTTTACCTTTTTTCATTCGTAATATTTGTATATTACTAGATGTGTTTGTAGTCTAATAGTGACTTTTTTCAATTGTTATAGTTTTTTTCACTTAATTTTTTTTTATTATATTGGCATATTTGGTTAACTTCAAAATAACCAAGAGAACAATTCTTAATATGTCCAGTGATGGCCAAGTGGTCAGAGCAAAGGGTTAGAGATCCAAGGCCATCACAAGAGACGTGGGTTCGAATCACCACGATGATACTGAAATTATCCAGAAAGTTCATTTTAGGCCGTTTTTGGGGTCAAAAAAAAAGGTTTTCCTTCCTTCGCTTATCCTCCTCGTTCTCTCTCAGCTCCACCTTTCCCCACCACACCTGCTGCCCGTTTGCACGCTCATTTCTCAGTCCTGCCTTCCTCTCTTATATTTCCTCAGATATGCTCCCAGTTTCTGGTCCGTGTTGTTCATGACTGGTTCGCCGCTCTGCCTGTTACCGACGCTCCCATTTTTCCGATGACCACATTTTGTCTCATACCACCTCAGGTACCATCTCACATTTCTTCCAGTATCCGCGCCTTGTCTCTTACCGTTACTCCTTCATTCCTGTAACCGCCTCTTGTGCTGTACCGCCCCAGGTACTTTGCTGTATCCACAGCTGTCTTTGGTGGGATTCAAACCCATGCCTCATCCGTAACCTTGTCCGCAACCAATGGTGCTTGCCACTAGTGCCATCGTGGCTTTCACACTGAGAGCTAAACTTCGCGCAACTTTGTCTTTTCTTTTCACAGCAGTTTAACATAAACATTAAAGGGATTCGAACCCTGGTCTCCAAGATGAAAGGTGAGTGTTCTACCCACTGACCCATTAGGTCTGGGTAGTGGATTGCTGTCTTTAATGGGGTTTTATAGATATGTTTATGGCGAATACATAAAAATTGTAGCATTAGTGGGATTCAATCCCATGCCTTCATGCTTGAATGGCAATTATTCTCCCACTGTACTACAGAAGATGTTGGTTTCATCCTACAAATTCTTGTCTAAAGCTATAGACAGAGCTGCAGGTACATTTAAATGTTTGCAATAGTGGGATTCGAACCCATAAATATGAAGTTGTGAAGAACGAACACTTATCCTCTAGGCCACAATGGCAGCAATGATTGACACATGATTGTTTAGAGAGTAATTCTTGCTTTTACTTCAGTTTAAGTATAAATTATAGTACAATACACTTCACAATAGTAGGATTCGAACCCATGTCTTTGCGATATGAAAATGCGAAGAGCTATTAATTATCCTCTGCGCCACAGAGGCATCAGCAATTCCTACATAGTTTTTCAGAGAGTAATTCCTGCATTTACTTCAACGTATGCTTTTGAGTTTCATGTAGGTGATGTATATTGTTAGCTTTGAGATTGCAGCAGAGGAAGGAATCGAACTCGGGTCAGCAGGAACACCTCAGTATCACATGCTGACACACTAACCACTAGGCTATAGACTCTGAGTTGCATAGATGTTCAATGGACATTTTAATCATATCTCAATCACATCCTTAAAATTTCCTTGATTAACAGCTTCACCTGATTTCAATTAAGACTGTTAGTTCACTCAGGAAAGTGGCTCATCAGGAGCAGACGCTGATCTGATCTCTTACAGCGCTCCCAACAAATATTCAGTGTTTAACGTTGTGAAAATTACCCAAGAGAGATTTGAACACACGTTACACTAAGACACCATTAGTCTTTTATCTTTTGTCTCATGTTTTATGCATTTTCAACATATCTGCTGGATCAGCTCAGGAAATAACATTAGGTTAGTCTGCAAATGATTGAATGAGAATCTCCAATTCTTTCATTTGCAGCTCATTAATTAATTAACTCAGAAAAAGTGGCTCATCAGGATCAGACACTGATTTGAGCTCATACTTCTCTGTTATAAACAAAACTGCTACTAAATATCTAGTGAAGAAAGTTATGAACATTACCCAAGAGAGATAAAACATAAACTTTACACAAAGACAGACTAAAGGTCTCAGAATTTATTTTGTCCTGTATTTTATGCATTTACAACAGATCTGCTGGCTCAGCTCCTGAAGAAATATTAGATCATTCTGCCAATTGTTGATTATAAATTAAGTCCAATTCCCAAATTTGCAGCTTGTCATTAATTAATTTACTCAGAGCACATTCAAAGTAGGCCAGCTGACTGACAGAAGCTGGAGTTCTCCATCATCTCCACTAAGCGGCGTCAGCTGAAGGCATGAAGCTGAAGTTCTCATCATCTCCACTAAGCGGCGTCAGCAGTAGCCTGGACTCTATGATGCTTGATGCAGGTCACCTGTTGCCACAAACCCAACATGCCATTTTACCAACAGACCTTGCAATGGTGACAAATGTTACACAATTCTGATCATCTGAACAGATGCAAATATAAAATGCAGCAAGAAAAACTCAGCACAGATGACTTATGTTTTAATTTGTTTATTTTAAAATTAAAATAAATATCAATGCATGTAAAAATCTCTGAGAAAACAAACAAACGTCGTCCATGTTTAAATGTGGAATATTACAGCACGTCGTAATGCTTCCATGAAAACTCTTGAATAAATTATACAGATGGTGAAACACAGAACGTTACACATAACGAATGCATCCTTTGCACTGCTTGGGTTTGATTTTGTGCAGCAGTAAGTCTTTCATCTTCTCAATTAATTTCTGACTCACCGGGTTGAATGAACATCCACAATGAAGAATGAAACAAAAAACAAACAGGACAGAGAGAGAAAGATCGGCCGTCTGCATGTTGAAGGAAACACTGACAGTGATATGAAGGCCTGTGGAGAATACAGGCAGCTCCTTCAGGTGGAGGACCGACGTCCCCCTGTCCTACAGGTGCGTCTTTCGGCTGTGCTCAGAATTACAGCACACTGAGGCATCTGCTTGGCCATTTCGGATCTCATCTGCCCACTTTAACAGTGGCTTCTTATTAATCGGGTCTCTTTTCTTCCAATAACACTCTCTCTTTTACATCCATTGAACAATATAATGATATAATGATGTATTTTTTTTTTTAACTTTTTTTTTTAACTTTATTTTCGTACAAATCTATATAACCCAAATTTTAGAAATCTTATTTACATGAAAAAACTTTAAAACGGCAAACAGCCCACCCCACGAATCGCTCACAACAATTGCATTTGCTTTTCTTTTTTTTTTCGCTCTGTTTTTAAGTTTCGTTTTTTTTCTCGTACAAAGAAAACAAACCATCAAACAGCAATAGACCAAGCCACGAAAAAAAGGTCTCCTCCATCTCGGTAAAAACATGAATTAAAATTCCTCACCCTGCATCCACCGTATCCCATGATGCAATTTATTTAGGGGCAAAATAGAGAACAGAGAAAAACAAAGAGAGAAAATTAAATCAGAAAGGCTTTGTCATTCAGTGCTGTCCTCTAACGTTTACCCCTCATGGGCAGGAGGAACAGAGCTGGAATTGGTGGCAAAGGTGAGAGGACCTTTGTCTCCTTCTAGTGGTGCGTTTCAGGCACCGAAGGATCTGAAGCTCACACTGCGTTCTCCGCACAGCCACCGCCAGCTTCATAGCGAAACTCCTGCAGGTTGGAGACTCCGTGGAAGTGCACAAAAGCACCTGCAACCACCAGGATATGGAACAGCTGATGGGAGTGAAACTGCAGAGAAAAGGGCGAGGTATGAATTAGACATAATATCAGGCTATATACTGGAATTACAGTTAATACATTAAGATGTTATTGCTAGTTCAAGTTTTACTTTTAGTTGGCATTTGCTATAGTTTAATTGAATTGCAGATGAATTGAAGGGCTGTGGTAATAGGGCTGGAGGATATGGATATTTTCCACATCAAACGATAATGATAAACACTTTGATACAAGTTTTTAATGCTTCCAGATTTAAAAGAGTACCCCAACTTTGAACAATTAGAGGGTCTTATAATGCCATAACATATTCAGCTGATACATTTTCTGAAAATTTGGGGCTGAAAATTCAATGCATCTTTTAATAAACACACTTATAGATTCCCATTGCACATTTCTGCTGTGTGATTGGCTTTTAGATCAATATATAAAGTCCAGAGCTTATTATTGTTTTTGACATATATTGTAGAGCAATTCGATATAATATCGTTTATCAGCCCAGTCCTACTTGCTAATCTTTTCAATTAGCCTATAGTTGACACAACATTGACTGATGAAATAACGATCAACTTTCAAGTTTTACTTTGAGGTGGCATTTTAACTTGCATTTCCTATATATTGATTGGAAGACAGCACAACTAAACAGTCTTTGTGATAACTGTTTATCAATGAATGAAGGGTAGGAACGAAGCTCATAAATTGAGTGAATAATTCAATGCAGATTATTTTAAAGAGAAAACAAACTAAAAGAACTAATGAAATATTAGACTCCTAACAGCACTTTGGTCAGCCCTAGCTGTTTTGATATTGCTCTAGGAGTTGAATAAACTAATTAAAACAACAACAACACATTCATTAATAAGCTTGAAGCGATTTGGTTATTTACTTTGTTTTATTGAACAGCTGGAAGGGCATCCGCTGCGTAAAACATATGATGGATAAGTTGGTGGTTCATTCCACTGTGATGATATCCGATTAATAAAGGTACTTAGCCAAAAAGTAAACGAATGAATGATATCCTCACCCTTTATTTTATCCAAACCTGTTTGAGTTACTTTCTTGTGTTTAACACAAAGGAGGATATTTGGAAGAATGCTGAAAACCTGTAACCATTTACTTCCTTAGTATTGTTTTTTTCCTTCAATGGAAGATTTCAGCTTTCTTCAAAATATATTATTTAGTCTTCAACACAAAAAACAAACTCGTTAAGTTTTGGGAAAAATGAAGGACAAGCAAATAGTGAGTATGTTATCGTTTTAGGGTGAACAATCCTTTTAACATACAACCTCTTTGAACAGATTTACATAAACGAATGAAAGGATTATATGCAACTATGACACCTTGAACAAAAGGAGGCAATTTAAAATACTTTTTAATTGGCCTTAATTTGATTTATCAACTTGTAATGCTTAATAAAACCTGTGAAAACACCCTGTGAAATGCAACAAGACGTGTTTGCTCTGTGATTTTCAGGATATAAACTCACCCAGATGTCACACTTGCCGGGGAAGAATCTCTCAGGTATGCGTGCGGCGTACAGGCAGGCTCCGGTGATGTACAGGACAGCCATGAGAAACAGCCAGCCCATCTGACCCATGGTGGTGGCCTTCAGGAAGCCCTCAGCAATCATAAAGTGCAGCGTGGGGACGACTCCACTGAGCCCCAAACCCACAAACACACCTAACACACACACACACACACACACACACACACACACACACAAGACATGTTAGTGCACTATTAGATATTTCTAGAGCTTCAAGTACAAGCAGGTGGAGAAAAACAATATTACTATTAATGGTGTTCAGCTAAAATGTACAATTATTATCACTTTTAAGTGTTTGCAAAACTGTAATTTTTATATATTTGTTTTAATGTATTTTGAAGAACGCTGCAAACTAGAAGCCATTGACAATCATAGTCAATGGTTTCCACATTATTCAGATTATCTTTTGAATATAGTTTAGGGGGTGAGAAAATCATAAGAGTCTTCATTTTTGGGTGAACTGTGCCTTTAAAAGAAGGGCCCAGTAAAAGCCCATTCACTCTTTTTTCCCAAACTATGGTGTAAAACTGTATATGTCTTACCAGCTCTGACTCCACGATACTGTGGCGTGGCGAAGAAATCGCACTGGGATACTGTGATGGCGGCGATGCCCAGGATACACACCACTATCAGGTATATGAAGCAGGGCTGAGGAGAGCAGTAGAAGGAGTAATACAGCCACGGTACAAAACTGCCCATGATCAGGAACGCAATGCCTGAATAGTCTAACCTGGGAGAGAATGAGAGAAAGAGAAAGCTAAGAGATTCATTCACGAACACACATGTGCATCGACACAAATTATAGAAATAAAAACCAACCATAAATATATAATCAGGGTTCCCGCTTTAAGCCAAATGTCGAATTCCCTGACTAAAAAGCTGAATTTCCAAGACCTTTAATAAGCACTGAGCAGACTTAATTTAGCAGGAAAAATAGATCTTTAATAAAAATAGATCTGTTAAGGACATAGTGCTGAATCCAAAAACAAAGCTGGATGTGTAAGGTCAATTCAACTGCCTGTGAACTGAAGGGCCATAGCAATCTTGTCAATTAGCCTATACCATTCACACAACAGTGACTAGTATAATAAATTAAAATTCACATATTATATCCATAACCTACTGAAGAACAGAATAGTAGTTAATAGTAACATTAACTTGCTAATAATAAACATAAAAAAACATGTAAATAAATTTTATAAATTTTATTTATGCGACCCCTGGGCTGATTATATTAAAGACAGCAATAGCGTCAGATGTAGCAGATTGATTTTATGGCACTAGATTAAACTGTCTGACACCTTTATGGCACTCACATACATTACAAATAAATACAGGCCACAACTGAACATGAAGGATGGTCTCCGAGTGCCGTTCTCCAAAATCAAATGATGAATAGACTTGGGCATATTGGTATGTTTGCACTGTTATGTGCAAGGATTATATATTTATAACTACTTCAGAGGATATTGGGGGTCGCGAGCCACTGGTATTGTAATTTTGGGGGTCGCGAGTTAAAAAGTTTAATTAAATAATGATTAATTTATAAAAATAAAAATAAATACCAGTTTGCAAAAGGAAAAAAAGTCAAAACCCAATTAGATATATTTTAAATTCTGTCAGCAACCAATTATGTCATTTTATATAGGCTTAACCTAAATAAATAATGATAATACAGCCATAAAAACATGTAATAGAAAATGTCATTTTGGAAAGTAAAATTTAAAACAAACAAAACCTTCCTGACTTTCAATGTCTTCATATCCTGTGGGAACCCTATATGGTTTATCTACACATTAAATTTAATACAGCCTCAAATAATTGCACTGCCTTAAATAATTGAAAGAAAAAACTCCTGTTTGTACGTTTCCCCCCTTCAATCACATAATATGTCTAGATTGCATACTTTGAGAAGACTCGGGACACCCCTTCTGAGTGGCAGTAGACTGTGTGAAAGAGCCAGGAGAAGGACAGGCAGAGAATGGCTCCTAGAAAGAACATGCCGATGACGATCTTCTCCTGGAACGGTGCCACAAACGACATATTGGGTCTGAACATGTACACGATGCCCAGACAGAGAAAGAACAGGCAGCCTGTTGACACAAGAGAAACGCTGCTTTCATGTACGCATATACAAATATACAACGTACCAGAAATTGTAGATGCTCATTTGGTAAGTTAAGGCACGTTTATACAAAGCCAGCTTATATCTACAGGTCAACAGCTTAAAATCAATACACGCATTAAAGTACAAGGAGTGACATGAAGTTGAACTCAATGCACCTCAGACAGCTTAGAGTTTATTATTAGACAGACATCAAACATCTATTATTGTTTAGACATACCACAAGTCCAAAGGTGCAGAAGATCAATACCTGCACATTACAGTCTCACCTCTCAATCAATACTATTATCAGGAGATGAAGTCTATTGTGTTTGGCTTGACCTTCCACCCTACAGTACATTGCGTTTTGTTTATTGTATTGCATGTCCACTTTTCTCCACAAGGTGGCGACGCAGCACAGCCAGAATCACAGCATGTTCCGCTTTTATTCCAAACTCATTTTAATGTGATGTTGCTTATTTTAAATCTGTTTACAGCTATTGGGAAAAATAAGCGATCTCTTGAATATGCTGAGTTTATCTGGAGTCTATAGTTTTGCGTTGGAATAAGACCTGATTTTTGATTTATTCTGTCAAGGTCTGATGACATTGTTTATTAATTTTAAAAGATTTGTCATTTAAATGTTTTTTTGTTTGGATAAAAAGAAGAAAAAAAATGTTGTTTTTTTGTTCAAGACAACAGAATAACAATATTTGGTATACCAAAAAACAGATTAATATTTAAAAGAGTTAAAGAAATCAATATTAGGTTAAATAACCTTGACTTTCATTTGTTTTTTTCACTAATTGACATTTTTCTGGCTAAAACATACTCTAAATAACCAAATTTGGAAGAAATGTTACCAAACCTTTATAAAATAAAACAAATATTAACATTTTACTCAAACCCATACTTAATAAATGTATTAACTTGAGAGAAACTGAGCAATTCTCTTAAACATTTAATGTTTAACATTTGCACATTTAAAAATTTGCACATTCACTGCACCCCATTGAACTGTACATAACCACTGCATATGGACATTTGTAATTATGTACACACCCACTATACATATACACTTGTAATCATGCTTTTTTATCTGCATACTACTGATTATTAATAGCAACCTGTACATATATTCATATATTGTTACATATACACTTGTAATCATGTTTATTTATCTGCATACTACTGATTATTAATAGCAACCTGTACATATATTCATATATTGTAAATCTGCTCATAGCTTATCCAAGCTGTATATAATGTTCATAGTACATCCATCTGTAAATATCACCATAGTTTTCTATAACTGCACTTTATAACTTATACCTGTATCCTGCACTTGCTGCTATTGCACTGCTGGTTAGACTTAAACTGCATTTCGTTGCATTGTACTTGTACATGTGTAATGACAATAAAGTTGAATCTAATCTAAAAAAAAGGCACCTTTTCAAGATTTAAGATAAGCGTTTTGAGTCTCCAGTTTCAGCTCAAAACACCCATCAGAATATTTATTAGACTTTTCAGAAGTTTGTCATTTTTAGCATTGAGCATCTTGTGGCTGTTTTTGTGACCTCTGCCTTTAATGCTAGTTCTCCCTGCCCACCGTTCAACGTGCCTGTCAAGAGTCTGTGGTCACACTTTATTTTGATGGTCTGTTTATTGTTAAGTTACATCTACCTGTCAACTAATTCTCAATAGATTATAAGTAGAGTGTTAGGGTTAGTGTAAGTGGACATGTACTCGTAAAGTTTCTTATAGTCACTTAAATGTCTGTTGAAGCAGAGTATCCACAGATATTAAGCAGACAGTCTACTAATACTCAAATGGACCATCAAAATAAAGTGGTACAGAGTCTGCCTCAATCTCCGGCTGTATCAGATAAACAGCACAGTGACAGAAATGAAGGAAGCAGATCTCACCTAACGTTTATGGGAACTACAGTAAGAACTTTCACTATGATTATCTGATGTATTTGCTGTGGAGTTAATTTCGATGAGTCATATCGTTACAAAGTTCATGCACACAGAGCACGCGTTTAATTTTGCACTGTTTTTGCATGGCAAATGTGACAGGATACATGTTAATATCTACTGCTGTATGGATATCCGTTATTTTAAATGTACTAAATAATCCCAGGAAACCACACTCCTATGTCACGTGGCTATGGGCCTCAAAATGGGAGGGATTTGGATCCCATTTTAACGTCAGGAAATATCAAAAAGAGACTTATTGTGTTTATATCAGCCCAATATGAAAGTGCACACATTCAATCTATACACAGTTCTGTCCAAACAGCTTACAAAAGATGATTTGATCATAGGTGCCCTTTAACATTCCCCATAGTTGTATTTATATTTGTGTGTGTATATAGTAAGTGTTTTTGTTATATTGTAGTGTACAGGTGTGTTTGTCGTACCCAGCAGATGTGTCCAGATGTTGCCTGTTTCTGTATGGATTCTGAAGATGCTTTTGAAGCATGCTCTAAAGGAGGGCATGGGCGGCCGGTGCCCGTGCAACAGGAAGTCATTATCCTTCAGCCAATCAGGGAGCACGTCATGAGGAATGACTCGCCATCTGCCTTCCCACATCTAAGACAGAAAATTAAAAGCATTAGTGCAAGACCTCAGAAACAACCCTGCACTTTTGAAAGGACGACATATCTGACCGCTCTTAGACGTGTCATTACGGTAAGCTCAGGTCAGCATTACTGGCTGGCATGAGAAAAGCCCTCTCATTTAACTCCAGAAAGTAATTACACGGTGTACGTGAGAGAGCACGAGAGCAACAGATAAGCATTATAGTAATTATGAGTTAAAGCACGAGCAAAAATTGCACATGCAGAGAGCCAGAAATAAATTCAGAGGCTCCTTACATTCTATATGCAGACCAATGTTAACAAGTCAACTACTGTCATGCTGGAGCAACGGCTTGTGACTCCAGCAGAGCGAGCAGACCTAGGCCTGTCATGATATCTATATTTTGTTGTGTGATATATTGCACCAAAATATATTGCAATAGATCGTATTGACATTTTAAGACCATTTTAGATCTACGTTCAGTTGTCAGACACCCCATGAAAATATACTGAAGTAATTAATAGTCAATATACTGTTGTTTAACCATACTGACACCACCAGTAGAGAGAGAGAGATGCTGGGCAACCAGCTGAAATGTTGCTAATATTGGTTATGTATGGGCGATACACATTGCATCACCAAAAATAATTGAGGTCATGCCCATGTGTTGTGCGACAAGTTGATATATTGATTATCATGGACGGGCCTGCTGACGTTTATAACTATCCATCTACACGTATGACAGGGAGTGTGTGAAGTTACTACCAAAGTAATGCAAGAGCACACAAAGGAAACAAGGGGTTTGCATTGAGCCCCTAGGGGCCGCTCACACCTAGTTTTGTGGTTATAATGTGCAAGACAGAATAAAAGAGACACAAACACAGTGGTGAAACACATCTGACAGTGGGAGAATAACAGTTCAATGCATAACACCGATATCAGCCTGATTTTGGCACACTGACTATGATGTATATTAATATTATGCATAAGCTGTGTTGACAGTGCGTTTGTATGCAAGAATTAATACATTTCATTTGATTCTGTCAGAGCACGAAAGACTCGCTTTTGGTTTAGCTATGGCATCAAAACTCCTGCTGTTTCCTCAAGATTTCTTTATGTTTGCTAACGAAATACATGAATTGCGTCATTATTATGTCCAAATCTGAGAGGTTTTGACTGTGTATCATTGTTTTACACTATATGAACTTTATCTAGTTTTTTTTCCTATCATGGTTTTAATAAATAAAAAAATCGGCTTTCCAGCTCAGAAAATGTGCTTGAATAAAAAAGCACTCCTGTCAGGCGTGACTACAGCAAGTACAGGACATGCAGATATGACAGCTATAAACATGCCATATCTGATGAGATTATTAGCTCATGTAGGGCTTGGCATTATGGGAAAAATGATCTTAATAGCGGGTATATGATATATAGCATTCGATAAAGATAATAGTAAGGATAAGAATGATTTCCTCCCCGAAATTAGACTTAAAATTGTAACCATGTGATATATGTGACATTAACCACCTGATTGAAGATCAAGCTCTAGTTCAGTTGGACCATCTAGTGTTATCAATGCTGTATGGGTCAAACACAGTCAAATTTAATGCAATACAATTTTAAATGTCCATGCAAACATGAAACAGACAGTAGCAATGTATTCCTGCATTTCACTGTGCTACATGTCCATTGTTTCTTCTATTAACATGTGCTTGATGGATGTTCTGCCCACCGTGTTTGTGTCTCGCATCTTTTGCAGCATCTCGCACATGAAACGACATGTTGAAAACACACCACTTCAATTAAGAAATCCAATTTGTCTCCATAACCGTTGTGTTTTCAAACACAAATGAATTTTATTTAATAATTAAACTGTGATTTAAATCCCAATTTCAATCAATCAAGACTTGCAGAGTATTAAATGACTCTATTAGTAATTACGTTTAATTGTGTATCAACACATCACCTGTATATATCCTTAAATGTTTGCTATTGTGTGTTCTTTATTCAAACCCATGATTCCTCAATTAAAAACAGATATCCTCAAGGTAAAATATTACATTCAGATTAATCAAAAGCTTAAATAAATATCAGCCAGCAGGATTTTTTTATGAAACAAAAAAGCACAGTGAGAGTAGGTCAGCGTGACTGCCTCAAGTCCTCGACATACTTTAGTTGACCTGCAGAGACGTTGGTGTTGTTAAAGTCTGTGTGCTGATAGTGGATGGCACTGATTGGATCCTGCAGTGTGTGTGTTTGCTCTCCAACACACAAAGCTTTGGCCTTTTCTCCAGAGGGAGAGAGGAAGGAAAGAGCCATTACAGCAGAAGTGGCTCGCAAAGCAAAGTAAAAGTTGAGCTGGTTTATAGAGCAGAGATCTGCAGCACATGCACAAAGCACTGCTTTCAGTTCCTCTTCCTCTGCATATGGCACACTCTCAATGCAAGATTGAGATGAGAGCTTGCTGGAGATGGGAGACGGGTGTGTGGTTTGGCAGGGCTGTTTTCAGTGAGGTGTGCTGTTGTAAAGGCAGCTGTGAGACTCCACTCGGGTTTAATCTCAGTGTAGACCCTAACATATAAACTCAATGATAATGCACATCTGTGTTTATGAACCGTGAGCTGGGTCTCAGCTGTGTGTGTGTGTGTGTGTGTGAGAGAGAGAGAGTCTGACCTTGTGCACAAACTCCTCCATCCTCTCCATGGCATGGTGAGCCTGAAGCAGAAGGCCTTCATCTGAGCTCTTGTCCTCTTCTTCTTCCTCCTCCTCCTCTTCGTCTTCCTCTTCTCTGACTGTCGTTTCCTCTTTTTCATGCATCACCCTCCTCGCATGAAGACACTGAAAACACAAGCACAACAAAGACGGGTTTCAGCATTTGAACAAAATACATTGTTTGTATTTTTCATAGTAAGCAGCACTCAACAATCAACTTTTCATAATATCCATTATTAATAAGCAGTAGGGCTGCATGATATTAGAAAGATTTAACACCCCGCGGACACCCTGTAGTTAAAGTCGCAAATGGTACAATTTCTAATACCTGAATGCTTTTAAATTCATTATACTATTGCAGGCATCAAAAACACGTGCAACTGATCATTTATGATACAAAATCAACAATGCAGATCCTTCGATGTGACTATTGTGAATGATCACATTGCGCTATTAATGCTGAAACGATATATTGTGCAGATAAATAGCTACATTTATTTGATTCAATCTGAGAAACAAAATTAATAAAGTAAACATTTTATTATATGAGCCATTCATTCATCCTTCAAATTGTATTGATATGGCTTTAAAAATATCTTATATACATACACACATACTAACAATCAGTAATCATTCATTTACAATGCACTTTTGTTGAATTATTATGAAATAAACACTTTAAAGAGAAATTTTCGATCTTATAGACACACAAACTTATTATTTAATGATTATTTTGTCTATGAGGTATTAAAAAAAACAACTTAACATGAAAATGCGTCCCTTCAATATGTGAACTATTACATATTTAATAATTGAACTGCTTTAAGCCCATTACACATTTGCTAAATAGGTAAATATGGGACAATCTTTGCAGATATTCTCTATGATCATGCATCTTACAAATATCTAGATCAGGGGTGCCCAAACCCGTTCTTATAAAGGGCCAAAAACCAAACTTGAATGAGGGATGTGAGCCGAATACAAAACCAAATACATCATACCAAATTTACTATGGGTTATTTCCTAATTTATTCGCAAATATTTCAAAATAAATAGAATGTTGCTTTAAATCAGATGAAATAATGCAGTTTAATTGTTTTACATTTTATAATGAACTTATTAGAGTAAAAACATAAGCAATCCTATAACACAACACAGTTCAATGCTGAATACACTAGTTGACCTGCTCCTCCCTTTGTCTTGATTTGTTCACTGATGTCTTGTGCAAGTGACTCGATTCATTTACAACATTTAATTTGTCTTTTTTTTGTAGCTCAGCAATAAAACTAAGAAACAAAGGGTTACGTTACAATCAAAATAACCATTTCTGTCAAAGGCATATCATCTTAACTACCTTCACAACACCTTCCTTATCTTCTTTTCAAATGGGATGGTGGACCAGATCACATTGGGCATCTCTGATCTCCATAAACTCACTACTCATCTCGAAGTCAGTAGTCAGCTGGACAACTAGTCAATCATCCTAATAACCCAAACACCCGGTCGACCCGGTCCTCACACAAGAGCCTATATAAAAGGTCATTTAAGAACTCGCTGTAATACACGCACCCTTCTCCATTTAATTAATACTGCATTGATTGGCATGACCTTGCTTATGGCATGTTCTCAGCGCTTTGTGTGTTAGAAGCAAAACCCTGCTGACTCCCTCCAATTTATCTCTCTGTGCACAGCGTGAGCTTATACCAACAATCAGTGTTAAAGATCGGCCCCAAGAGGCTTATACACGCTCATCTATCAAACATACAATGTTCATCACACTAGGGTGCGTGCGCAAACATCACTAATACAAACTATTAACAGTATCACAATAAACACACACACATGCTCTCTGGTACTGAAACACAAAGCTGCATGCAATAAAGCACAAAACGCAGCATCCTAAACTGCAGATTAGGGATGAGTGTTGACTCAGATGACCCGTTTTTGATTTAATTCCAATTCACAAGCTTTTGATTCAATTGGGAGAATATAGATCTAATACAAATCCTACTGATATTTCTAAAAATGATTGGTAAACACTTTATTTATGTGCATTTCATTCAAACAGAAGCCAGCTCTCTATTTTTGATGCATTGAATAGTTTTCACATGACATTAAGACAAAGAACACAAATATATTATAATAATAGAACGTTTCTACATTAATATTAATAGTTATGATACATATTCAGCCAAGAGCGTGTGAGAGTTGTTTATTCTTTTGTTTTTGCATTTATTTATAGGCCCCTATTGCTTACACTTGACAGACTGTTACATGAAATCAGCATTGCAACTAGGGCAGCGCCATATTGGACAAACATCGACATTGCGATATTTCATTTGTCTGTGATATATATATATTGTGACATGGGTATAATTTCAAAAGATGGCTTATAACTATATTGAATGCATTCATCATTGTACATTGATTGGAAATGTTCATAGAAGAGTATCTGCATTTGGCATGGGATGATAACCGTTTTTAAGGTATACCGCATCAAGTCAAGGTTTTAAAACAGTCACATTTTTCTGCAATACAGTTCCTAAGGTATGTGCATGATTTTTATTTACTTTTATTTTTTTGTTTTTTTGTTTAACTCCAGCAGAAAAAAAATACCCGAAGAAGGTGTTTTAAATTGTAAAATAAATAAATAAATAAAAAATCTGTTTTTGAAATAAATGAAGACAGCAGAAGTCAATAAATCACTTGTTTACGGTTCCAAAATATTTTAAATGTTTCTAAAAATAAAATAAAAATATTGTGTTTAAATGGGAAAATGTTTTTGTTTTTACCCAGACATTTAAAAAGAATATATTTAGAGCAGTAATCACAATACTATGAAACCGTGATATTTTTATGCAAGGTTATCATACCATCAGAATCTTATACCGGCCTGTGCCTATAAGCTCCATACAATACAATACAATACAATCGAACAGATACAAATAGACTGGATGGTTTTCTGTGGAATCTAACAGTACTGAGGTACAGAAATTCAATAACAATAAATAAAAATAACACTGTATAGTCTTCATCGTTTAGTCTTCAACTCATTTTGGTTTATAGCTTTATAACCTCTCGGTTGAAGTTTGCTCAAATCTTACACAAGTCTTAAAACAGACCAATTGAAAATCACTGTATTTCAGGGTTAAACTTTTGAGATCAACTTAAATCACAACTAGACACTTCTGATCCCGGGACTACAGCAGATTCACACATTGTGAATATATTGTGCAGCCCCAGTAGAAAGGCTTGCAGAGAGTGAAAGTGTGAAGTGTTGTTCAGTAGCACAGGTTAACAAGCCTCTCTTAAGCAGATCAGATTGGGCAGTGGGACAATTAGCATCTTGGTAATCGGCGTTGACGTGGCATTACTGTGCTCCTAATTCCCTAGCAGCTTTGGGAACAGCCTGCTACTCTTTCCTCAGGCACACACACACATATATACACATACATATACACATGCACACACACATGCACAGCTGGAGGGCGTCCTCAACAGAATAAGGTATGACTGGAGCACAGAGATGACCTTGAAGGCCCTGCGTCAGAGTCACTTCCACTGGCCGGCCAGTAGAGGTCCTGCTGTAGAATGCTCTGTGTGTTATTTAAGTGTAACCACACACTGATGACAGTAGACTAGATTTAATAGTGAATGCATCTGAAGCGTGATTCAGTCTATAATTAGGAGCAGTCAGTCAATAACATTAGAAACGAGCACTTTGTGTCCTTGTACCTCCTTTTCTGCTGTAGGCCAGCAGCGCTTTAAGGGAGCTCCATAAATAGACACACTTCAATGCTTTCTGAACTGATTCAGCCTTGAGTTTGGCTATTCAACATCAGCAGATTAGTAGAGTTTTGCATCAAACAAGGCATTCCAGCACACTGGATTCTCATATAGTGTTCCTGCAAAGTGGATTACTGTAAATGTGTCACGTCTACCATTTAAAATCATTTACGCAACACAAGTGCACAGAGAAATATTACTTTTAACATTATAAAATACACTCACTGGCCACTTTATTAGGTACACCGATCCAACTGCTTGCATTTAGGCATGTAGACATGGTCAGGATGATCTGCAGCAGGATTTAAGAGACTTTAAATGCGGCATGGTTGTTGGGGCCAGTACACTTAATTTAATACTTTATTGTTTTAATAAACCTATGTGTGGAGATCAATACAATAAAACTGATTCTCCATCGAGGACCTCAAGGACAACACTTACGAAAAGATGATGGCAACCAACACATATACTTAATACATAAATACACGTCATTAAACATACACAGACATCACCTCTATGCTATAAGACTGCCAGGCTAACTATGTCTGTATATCATAAGTTATATTTGATAGTACACCTAAGTTGATTGTAATTCAATAATGTGCAACTTTTGTAAAGCTGCTTTGAAACAATAATAATTGCAAAAAGCGCTATACAAATTAACTTGAATTCTCATTGAAGTGTCAATAGTTTATCACGGACATTGAATAAGATGCACCCGGCATTGTGCACGACAGTAAAACAGAAAAATCCCAAGAGTCCTACATATATTTTCACCTGACAAACGATCCATCTAACAAGCCAAATCTGGGACACTTCCATGGGCATGTAAAGCGGTGAGCAGAGAGGTCACGGGTAAAAGGCAGAGCAGCTAACAGTGTGTGTTTCTTGTCAACAAGAGGAGTCGAGCAGAACCAGAACTGGATCTATAATGCATGAATAACCTACTTCTGATGCCTGCCAGCAACCCCATCCTCTCCAAGAGTGACCGAATTCAGCTGCCTCTCATTACAAGTGTGTGTGTGTATGTGTGTGTGTGTATTAAATGTCTACTGTCTGTCACGGATTCATCTATTGCTTTAAAATAAACATTTTTAACAGCGCTGCTCATAGCTGTGACAAATAGATCACTTCTGTATATGTTTATACAGTCGGAAAGCAAATGTTCCTGTATTTAACAGGAGACACTGCAGGCAAAAACAGTTTCAAGCCTGCCTCAGTTTGACATTTTGGGGCTTTTTATAGTGCTTTTTTCAGTCTAATGTGAAGGAAACATCCACAATGCACTTTGGAGTGTTTGTTTTGCTATGATTCATCAATTTGTATCTCCAGATTTCCAA